GGGGGGGGGGGGACGACAAAAATTCAGTCTTTAAGAAGTTAGCATAATTCATTCACCTGTAGGGCGGAGATGCCTTCTTTCTCCGGTGTTTTGACCTGGGAAACAATGTTATCATCTAACCAAAGGATGGTGATGGGGAGGCGTTCACCCCATTTGTCCCAGAGTGCTGTCATTCCACATTTTATGGCTATTGCTCCTGTCCGTTTCGAGTTTGGAGTCATGATCCCAGGTTTTCCTTCTATAATCCGATTCCTTAGTTCCTCCACTTGGCTACTGAAGGTTCTGTACTGGGTTTCTGAGAAGAGGCAGCGGACATGAGAAATGAGGCTTCTCGCCATTGTATTGAGGAGATTTCTTTCTCCTTTTTCTCCCTACGCCTACGAAGATACATGGAAGAATTCAAAACATGGTCCCTAAGTTTTATTGGTACCAACGGACCTATAGGTAATCATCTGTCAAAACCAACAAAAACATAAAAAATTCAAACACACACACACACACACGACCGAAGAGCAAAAGCCGGGAAAAGATCCTAAAAGGCAAAAGTAATTAAATAAATAAAACAGGAAAAAACTCACGAGCAACAGGTAGATCCACAGGAATAGAGGAATAAATTAAACCTCACAGCAGAAGGAGGTGGGAGGAGAGTGAGATTAGGGCTTGACGGAGTTAAAGTTTAGAGCTTGAAAGGGCAAAAAGTCAGGTAGCAGCAGCAAAAGCAGTAGCAATGGTGCCCCCGTTTTTTTAATGGCCCGCTTTCAGTCCGGCCCATTATGGTGTTTCTTTTGAGGGATATTTACCTTGGTATACCATATACGAAACCTTATTATCCTCAATGTTTAAGTATTGTGTTAATTATATTTCAGCATACCAAATTATCATTTATATACCATAATTTAAATTGAGGGTATAATTAATACTTCATTTATATTAGGCGCTAATTTAGGAGCGTATATTCTCCCATTTTCGTTTACCCGCCTCTCTCTCCTACCCCCCCCCCCACACCCCTCCCCCCACGTTTACCTTCAGTTAATTCCCCCATTTTCGTATACTCGCCTCTCACCCACGTTTACCATCAGTTACCCACGATTCTACAATTTTCTTCTCCAGTTAATTTCACAAAATCCTATTTTGAAGTTGCATCTGTTTTTTCAAGTCCCAAATCATGAAAAAAATCAACACTCCCAAAAAAAAAGCTTCAAAAGCTACATTAGCTGATATCCCATCCTTTGATTTGGGTGTTTTAACACCAAAATCACCAGCCAAAAACGCAAAATCGACACATGCAAGTAAACCTACTACTAGTATTTCATCTCTTAGACAAATCCGTGCGGAGATGAGAAGCAAGCATTTGCACGATGTTGATGCTGGTGGAGGTGATAAACCAGTCGAGAAACAACTAAAACGAAAGGGGAAAGAGTTGTGTATAGATGATGATTTTGTTGAAGATTCCTCTAAAATTCCATCTGTGAAAAAACCCAAGGTCTCTCCTTCTTCATCAAAATCAAAAAAGAAGNACAGGCTATAGATGTAGAAGCAACAAAAAGGACTGTTTTAACACAAATTCGTCAAAACTACAATTAACTACAGTTTAACTACAATTTAACTACAATTTATAAAAACCACATATATTCACTAAAACACTGCTTTTATTGATCTACTCTCCACAGATAACTCCATACCTTCTATGACTTGATCTTTTTACTCTGAACTGGAACTTGTGCATCACAGAAAAATTCTTCATTGCAGCAGCTACAGTTTGCTTGTCCTGATAAACTTGTCCTTCTTCAATATATGTTTGCGTAGATTCAGTTATTATTTCACTTTGATATTCCTCTATAGGTGGTGAGGATGGAATTTCAAGTAACATTAGGGATCCAGACGAACCTGCAGCAACATAGAGATAAATGTAGTAACTATGTAGATAATTTTGAAAACGACATTGCTTTATGAGCTTCAGTACATTGTTTTTTGTAGTTAATTTGTAGATAAATGTTATAATATTGTAGATAACACACTAACACAATAACTCTCTGCAATGTCGAATTAAACATACCTGCACTTGTGCTATTGTTGGTGATTGTCAATTCCATATTGAAATCTCTTACGCTTATACATAAAGGATACGAACCTAAGTTCTTATTCTCCTTTTTGGTCTCCATATACACACGAACCCCCATATCATTCCTAATCTCCATTGGAGGACAATTGTCGTTCATAATGTATTTGATTTCTACAATTTTATCCGATGTATCAATCGATAGTTGTTCTGCAATTGTAGAAATCAGAATTCCGTAGCTTGCATTCTCATCTACCACAATGGCATCAACTTCAAAATCTCTTGATCTGCCATAGTTATCCCAATTTCCATTCAATTTTAGCATTATTGGGATTTTTGACATGATTTAGTGTAGTTGTGAGAAAAGAGATGAAGAACAGATATAGGTTCGACAATTTGAGTACTGAGGTCGACGAAGAACAATTTTGAATTCTACAATTTGTATTGCGTTGTAGAATTTGTAAAAGCAAATTGAGTACTGGAGCTCCTGAAGCTTGCGTTGTTTTAGAATTGTAGTGAATGAGAGAATTTCGCAGCAATGAGATCTCTTTACGTTTCAAAATTCGAATTTAATGTGGAAAGAATCAAACGCAGATTTCGTGCCTTCTTTTTAGCGCGTTTTAAATGGGAGAATCTGCCTAATTATGGATTGGTATATAAATTGTAGTAAAAGTGTGGACTGGGCGGGTAATTAACCAATTATGAACATTTTTGGTAATAAGGTTTCATATATGGTATAGATAGGAAAAAATCCCTTCTTTTGAAGTCTGTATCATTTGTCCAGGAGTGTAAGGTATCATTTGTTTTATTAAGATTAACAAGTCTTGAATCTGAATACAGATCTGAATATAAAGATTTATATTAAAATTAAGATATTTAAATCTCAATAAATCTGAATATAAAGATCTATATTAAGATTAAGATATTTGAATCTAATATATCTGAATATTAAGATGTGTATTAAGATCTGGATACTAAATGATTAAGACTGTTTGATTTTTAGCATATAAATGTATATTATCTTTATTTGAAAATTAGTAAACGTAAAATTTAAATGAAATACTAATTAATTAATCAAATATTCTATCAATAAAATATATAGTTTTTTAAAGAGAAAATGCATAAATACCCCATTCAACTTGTCCTGGAAAGTCATTTACACACCTAAACTTTACGGGCGTCCTAACACCCCACTATTTTTTAAAGAACTGTATTTATTTACTCCCTCCTTATGCTTGGCCAGCAGCGCGTGTTTGACAACTGAATTGAGCGCGTCCTAACTCTTTTAATCGTTGAAAACACCCAAAAAAAAGAAATAAATAAATCTTTTACGTTAATATAACCCCAACCAACGGTAAAATCCCCTCTTCCCCAATATTTTACCAAACCCAATTGAAGAACCTAATTTCTTCTTGTTCATCTAATTTCTGCCAAGAATCCCTCAAATTGCCCTTTTGAAGTTTTAATCTTTGAAGGCAAATGTTAACCTTTCTCCTTCTTAAGAACCCTAATTTCTTTCTTTTAGTATTGTTATGCCTTTGTCCTAAATTCCAATTATCCGATTTTATGAAAGCAAATGCAAATTATCTGACTATCAAAAATATAATTGTCTTGTTGTGTTGTAGTTGTTGCAATGCCTTCAAAAGGCTTGAATTTGACAAGGCTTTGCACGGAAGAGGAAGAAAATGAGTCAAGTGGAGAAATTCGATGCAACCATGGCTATGTGCTGCCTTTGTTAACAGCTTGGACCCCTCGGAACCCAGGAAGAAGATATTGGGTTTGTCCATACTATGGGGTAAATGATAGTAAAAATTCTTTCACTAATTGAGTTGTGAAAAATTATCATTCATTAATTTCCTTTTGTTATTCATCTTAGGGTCCACGATCTTGTGATTTTTGTGTTTGGAAGGATTCCGAAATTGATCCTAGGTCCAAATTTGTTATTCCAAAATTGCTTGACAAAATGGGTGAACTTGAGAATGCATTAGAAGGCTTTGAAAATCTTGCCAAGCCGAGGACAACTTTAAAGGTTGAAAACACCATAGAAGAGGACAAGATGAAGAAGATTGAGGCTCAATTGGTGAAATTGCAAGATGATATGGAGAAGATGAAAGAGAAGGAAAAGAAGTGGAAGAGTAAATTAGCTAAGTCAAAGGCTAGGGAAAATGTACTTTGGTTCATTATATTGGGGATGTGTATTATTCTTGTTGCTTGTGGGTATCCCGGAATCTCATTGAAAGAAGATGCAATGAGGTTGCCATTGTGAATCTAGTTTTGTCATCTCAATATGAATGTAGTTGTTGGTTGTAGGATTTATTTTGTATGTTTACATTGGAACTTATGTAAGCCTTTTGTTGTTTTGTCATCTCAATATTTTGTAGTATTCTCATCTCAATATGTAATTGTAGTTCTTGCGTATCAATTGTTGTTTCAATACACCTTACCAAACGACTCCAAAGTCTGTACTTATCGAAGGTTTAGAATAGAGATGTATGAAAACTTGTGAAGGAAGAACTTTCTGTCTCCACAACTGAAGGAACACATTTCATGGCAAACACACATACTATCAACTTGTACAACATAGATCACTAAAACATCATATATGCATTTCTTGCATAAAAGCCACAAAATGAGTTAACAAAACAGCTGTTTGTTGTCATTGTAGCAGCAGCAAAACAGACACCAAATGTAACAAAATAGCAGTGTATAGCTACCAACAAATCCTTATCAAAATACAGAATTGCAGTCTATAGCTACTTCAAATTGCAGTCTAGTTCAGTCTATTGCAATACAGTCATCAAACAAAAGCAAAGCTTCATCAGCTGGGCTGATTTGCAGTGGTGCTTTCCTAGGTCAACTTAGCAGCCCTAGACCTTGTTTGAATGAGCTTCTTGCCTGTCAATTGTTGAAGCTGCCTTGATGTCATAACTTCTTTACCTTTCCATTTAACACCTCGTGTTGGTTGATGGCCTAGATCTCCAGTTACTTCTGCCGAGGACCTCACATTCTTAAAGTTTGTAGATGACATTCCAGGCTGCCAAAATCCAACAGAAAATCAGACAAATGAAATCACCTATATATGAGAGTTTGTGTTAGACTTACATTTTGAATCTTGAAGCCACTTTGAGTGTGTAAAACTCCCATCCCAACCATCCTTGTTTTCTTAAATTGTGTTCTTACATCATCCCACCAACATAATCCTCCACTGAAAATGAATGTGACTTATCCATGGAGATTTTTCCACCATGAAAAACCTTAGTGTAACAAGTACAAAAAAGACATTGAAATACCTGAATATAGTAGAAAATCAACTAATTAAATTGTGTAATTACTATTAGACCCCTACACAAGAAGTCAGAATACATGCAACAAGAATAAAACTGAAAATTGGTTATTATTACACCTTAAAAATTGTATTTCAGTTCCTCGATTTTACATTGACAACATTACAGTGAAGAAATTTGCAGCAAGGTCAGAACCCTAGATATGGATAATATTAAACAAACTAAAACAGAGATAACATTTAGGGTTGATGATAGAAAAGGCTAGGGTTGATGTGTTTACCTCCAAACTAAAACAAATATAACGTTTACACTTGATTCTTTAGAGACCTTCTACTTCGAACGGGTCTTCAACCAAATCGTCAAATGAAACATTTAAGAACAAACGGAAAGCACCAGGAAG